GTAGGGAAGAGGGTGGGTATGAGTTTAGCATTATGTAGGGAAGAGGGTGGGTACGAGTTTAGCATTAAGTAGAGAGGAGGGTGGGTACGAGTTTAGCATTAAGTAGGGAAGAGGGTGGGTATGAGTTTAGCATTATGTAGGGAGGAGGGTGGGTACGAGTTTAGCATTAAGTAGGGAAGAGGGTGGGTATGAGTTTAGCATTATGTAGGGAGGAGAGTGGGTATGAGTTTAGCATTATGTAGGGAAGAGGGTGGGTATGAGTTTAGCATTATGTAGGGAAGAGGGTGGGTACGAGTTTAGCATTAAGTAGGGAAGAGGGTGGGTATGAGTTTAGCATTATGTAGATTGACCCTCTAATTTGGGGGTGGGGGTTAATTACTACATCAAAATCATACCATCCTATTTTTGATATTGTCAGCATTGTGTTTTTTTGTTCCGTTGTGATTTCCTTTTTTTTTCTCCTTTTTATATTATTATACTATTATTATTATTATTACAAATATTTCTATTTAAGATGTACATGCTTGTAACAGAGCAAATATGGTAATGATAATACCTAATAAGTAGGTATGGGTGCTCCCTGTACTGCCAGACCACACCCCTTTCAAGACAGCCAAAATGTAATAAGCTATGCAAGGCACAGTCCCAGTTAGTTATCAAACCCACATTATATAGTTCTGTTTATAGTAACATAGTACAATACTTGTCTATATTGAGAGATATTTCACTGGAACATCATTAATTAAAACAAAACGGCCACCAGTCAGCCATTTGAATCAGATCGCCAAACCAATAAATCTGTACATCTATGACTTGATGTATAATGAATATATACAATTTGAACATCAGTCAAAGCATGTCAGAAATATGGCTCTAGAATCGTATTCATTAAAATAAAATACCACCAGTCAGCCATTTTTAATCCGATCTGAAAAACAAAATAACTTACAATGTCTAATGTATGTACCAAGTTTGAAGAAAATGATTGATTTTGATGATTATTCAGTACAAAAATTCGGCAATCTCGAATCAGATCAAGAAACAAATTGATGTGCATATATATAATATTATGTACGATGTATGTGTGAAGTTTGAATATAATAGGTCCAGGCATGTCTATGATACAAGTCCAAAAGCATGCATGCAGAAACAGAAGCATAAATGGACAGAGGTCAATCCATAAATCCCCATTTTTTGAATTTATATATATGTACTCGTATTAACTTACTAGCTGCATCATAACACTGTACAGTTGTCGTGGCTTGGAATTTCCACTTAAGAATTCTATCAGCATCATTGAGAAAATTCACAGTTTTCATTGGTGCTGTAATTTGGACATCTGTAAATTGTACGAAAATATAAAACAAACACAGTAATCATAGCATCACATCTTGAATTGAACAAGCAGCCTGTCGGCTGAGATAGCTCCGCTGTTAGCAATGCACATTGCAATTAAAGAACAGAAGATATCATTAGAAAATGAACAATATGTATAGTATTAAAGCAACAGGACTTGCTGTTTTCAACAAGAATTCAAAAATATCACTTTTCACCAAAAATTAAAAAAATATTCACTTAAATTACAGAATTAAAGATATCATCATGAAATGAACAAACCTGAGAGAGGACCACATGTAGTATCTATATATGTAATTTCAAAGCAATTGGACTTGCGGTTTTTAACAAGAAGTCAAAAATATCACTTTTCACCAAAAATAATCATCAAAATTAGATAATTGAATATATCACCACAAAATTAACAAATATATCACTTTTTACCAAAAATGACAAAAATATTCACCAAAATTAGAGAATTGAAGATATCATCATGAAATGAACAAATCTAAGACAGGTCTACCCAAGGTACACATACACCAAGTATCAAAGCATTCAAGAAGAAGTCGAAAACGTAAAACATTGACACGGACGACGACGAACAATCACTCATATGATAAGCTCCGCTCGACAAAGTCGACAGCGGAGCTAATAAAAAATAAATCAGTGTTCACAGATGATGTTGAAACATGTACATTTTCTATGCATTAATAAAATATTTTCTGGAAATAATAAATAATTTGTAATCACAAATACTAATTTGATGTAGATTATGTTTAATTTTTGAAATATAATGTTAACTGAAATAATATTCAAAGCATTATTAACCAGTTGAGTGCAATCATCGTGGTGTAACATTTTTTCTATTTTTACAAATTTTGGAACAAATAAATATTTTTAATTGCCTGCAGGTATTGATTACCATTTAGGAAAACATGATATGGCATATATTTTGCGACTCGCTGCACGGGTTATATATCCCTTTCAGCTGAATCTCA